GGGAGGGAGGGAGGGAGGGAGGGAGGGAGGAAGGGCAAAGAAAACACTGTATTTTCTGGAAAATTGCTTTTTGTGCTTCTGAAGGGATAAAAAATAATAATACCTGGATAAGCTACACCTCTCCTGGGAGAGGTCTGTCACATCTGCTAAGCATTTGGAAACTGGGTGGCCACATAAGGGCAGGAAATACATACAGCACACATATTCCTAGTGATGATCATGCCAAAATATTTCTTTTCTATTTTCAATATTCAGGATATGTTCAAGTCTTTCTTAGGACAAGCCAACTTGTCATCAACGATACTGAAAGGAAACCTCGAGCAAGTTCTTGGTCTCATGATTTGGCTCTCAGGGGCAAAGAGTACTAGTTAGCTGGTTGTCCCTCCCCTGCCTGTCCATGGCATTTAAGAAAGCAAGGTGACATCATAACCGATACAAAAATAGTTTATTTATGTATCTGTTTATTTGTGTTTATTTTTGCAAATCCATCCTTCAAGAATGATGCTTTCTAATTGTTTCATTATCTTTAAGCAGTTACCTGGCTCCATTCAAAAATTATATAATTTTAAGTTCCATGTCATTGCTGCAGTCTTACACAAACATATAAAGAGCACTTGCCCAAGAAGATAAGCTGATAACACTAATTTCTAGGGCATCATGAATCCCAGGTAATTAGGACACAACTAATTTTCAGGAAGGCTATAGGAATCCATACTGGTTTTGTCATACCTGTGGCATTGACTAGCAGCTTTCCTTAGGCTTTACTCCCTCAATCCCACCATTTTATCATTAAATCCAAGTTGGAGGTTAGATCTTCAGGTCCAGTTAGCTAAGAATTTATTGAATACCTTCTCTGTGCTGGGTACTGAGTTAAAATACTTGGCACCTGAAAGATGGTGAGTTTGAGGCTAGCTTTGGAAGGGATGGACCGGACTCCAGAAAAGCTCCTCCCATCTGTGTATTACCTGGCTTTTGTTTCTTTTTTGTTAGGACACAGCTGCAGGCAAGACTGAGAAGACTAAGAAACTTGCTCATTTGGGGCCAAAGCTGCAAATAAATCCATTTTTTTTCATACATAACTTTCTCACTGCAGGCAAGTGTTTGGACCCAGAGCAAGGCATTAGGGCTGGAGACCCTGGTAACAGCTTCAGCTATATATTGAGCTAGTAATGTGGCACAACTTTTCATATACTAAGTACAGCTAATTTAGCATGGACTAAATTTTCAGATCCACCTTCAGATGAGTGAATTTTACACTCTGTGTTGTGGATGATTGTGCTTTAAGGAATGAGGATCTTCCTTGTTTCTTCTTTCTGCAATTGGAGATATAAATCAGGGTTTTGTTTCCTTGATTTCGATGACCGTCTTCTTTGATCATGACTTCACACAAGGAAAGGAAAAGATATTTCCTTATGTGAAATGGTGGTTAAATTCTCATAAGCTCCGTCAACAAAGGCGCCTGTGTGGGGACCAGAAATTCCTCTTGGAATAAGGGGCCGACCCCAGCTGAACCATATCCAAGGAAGATGCTGCAAAGCTTGCAAAGCTTGTTAAGAGAAAGCAGCACTGTGTGAGATCTTCTCTTTCTCTTCAGATATTGTTCCAGCTTGGGAATTGGGGGTAGGGTTGGGGAAACCCATCAGAGGAAAACAGAAGGTACACTAAATGCATTTTCCAAGTACAAGGAAAAGTGAATTCTTGCATCTAGTGTTCGTGCCAATTCATGCTTAACATACTGAGGAAAGAAAGGAAGAAAGAAAGAAGGAAGGAAGGAAGGAAGGAAGGAAGGAAGGAAGGAAGGAAGGAAGGAAGGAGAGAAAGAAAAAAGAGGAAAGAAGGAAGGACCGACCAGTGAGCCACTCACATGTGAATGTTAGTGTCATTTACCCTCATCTTTCTTTGCTCAGAAATTTCCCTTCCAGGCACAGGTGATGACAGATGCTTTCATAGTGATGCATAGCGTAGTGATGAGAAGAAATGAGAGGTGAGGAGGTCTTGTCCTCCTCTATATAGAGGTGTATCTTTCCAAGACACAGCCCTAGAGACCTCCTTCTTCCAACTAAGCTCCATCTCCCAGTTGTCCACCACCTCCCAATAATGACATCTCATTAAGACTCTATCAAGAAGTCAATCCATTAATTAGGTTAGATCCTACAAGATCCAATCGCCTCTCAGTGATCAGATCCTCCAGCTGAGAACCAAGTCCTCAGTACATCAGTCAGGAAGCAAAGAAAGAGGGAGAGAGGGAAAGAGGGAAGGGAAGAAGGAGAGAGAAAGAGAAAGAGGGAGGGTGAGGGTGGGAAGGGAGGGAGAAAGAGGAAGAGCAGCAGAATGGCAGCTGCCCGCTTTTACTTTACTTCTGCTAACCCCATTCACGAAGTCTGCAGGAACAAATGCACAGAGAGGTGGGGAGAATTGCATGCCCCATATGATCTTGAGCCTGTCTCTCTTGACTCCTGTTTTCCTCAGGCACTTACGGATTCTAGCATCTAAACTGGGCTAAGTCTTCAGTTTCCAAACTATCCACCTACCAGGTCAGCTATTTCACATCCTGAGCTTTCTGTTTTTACCTGCTCTGTCGCGCTCCCTGGGGATCTGTACCTTTTCTTTTTTTAATGGAAGGCAGTTGGATGCCTGCCTTGTCTACCTCCTTCCCCATGTCATCTTCTCGTCTATCATTTCAACAAAACGCTGAACTCAGGGCCTGACTTTTCAAAAACTGCCCATACGCTTCCCACTGCCCTATGTGTGGACTCGTCATCTTTCCTTTCATTGGTCAGTTTCCAAGAAATAAGAATACTTGTAATAAGGCTTTTCATATGTTTTCTTATTTTTCATGGCAGCACTGGGAATTGAACTGACTGGCCTTGTTTCTTCTTTTCTCTTTCTTTTTGTTTGCTTATGCCTAGATCAGCCTGAACTATGATCCTCCTAGTTCTGCTTCCCATGTACCTTACCTGACAGATGCGTGCCACTGCGTCTAGTCATTGTGCTTTCTCTGTAGCTTGGAATGCTGGGTATACATCCTTACATGTAGCCATGAGAGATTGAAGTGGAATATCCTAAACTAACCTCATATTGTGAGTCCCCCACCACCACCAATCTCTATCTTCCCAGTTGCTAGGATTATGGTAGTAAGAGTAAGCCATAATGGCCAACCTAATTCCCTTCTTTTGTCGTACAAATCTGTCATATCCAGCTGGCTTCCCTTGAAGCACTTACCACTGCTTGTAATATCTGACTCCCCACCACACAAGTTTCTTGCCAAGTCAAGGAGAACAAGCTGTCCAGATGGCATACTCTCAATCCTTAACATCCGACAGGCTATGTAACTTCTCATTACTTATACCAACATCCTAATAGTAGCATCTAACGGGTCAGTTCGTTATTGAAAACTAAAACAAAAGGTTGTATGGAGTCAATTTATCTGAGGTAAGAGATCAGGAAACATGGTGTGGATTCTCAGCTTGTGTGAGTTTCTAACCTTCACATCCTCTGTTTGCTCACCTTTCAAAGTATAGCGTTGGCCTTGGGGCTTCTCTGTGGAAATGCTATCATTCACAGGCAAAATAAGGGCCTGTTCCAGTAAGACAGGGATGTGTCCACAAAGATGGACCTGGGATTTGGTTCTACAAGGAATACAATAAAAGTGAAGGGAGAGAAGGTTCCCATTTTGGGGGAGGGTCCAGTCGTGGGGCTTGAACTCTGGGCCTGGGCGCTGTCCCTCAGCAATTCAGCTTAAGGCTAGCACTCTACCACTTGAGCCACAGCGCCACTTCCGGCTTGTTTCTTATGTGGTGCTGAGGAATCGAACCCAGGGTCTCAGGCATGCAAGGCAAGCACTCGACCACTGAGGCACCTTCCCAGCCCCAAGGCTCCTGTTTTTTAAATTGCCTTCTATCTGATGCAGAGCTTTTGGTGCACGGGACCGGCTGCTCTTTTCTCAAATGTTTCTACTGCTCCTTCTACTGCCAAAAACTTTCCACCTCCTTCATACAGAAGGGCAAACCCTACGATTCTGTCTTCTCACCTCTTTCCTTGGAGTGCATCTTCATCCTCCAGGTAAATCCTCATGTTGAGAGACACAACCAGTCAGGCTTTGGTTTGTTGCTGGGTGGAGTGGTGGAGCCAGGGAGGTCGCAGAGCTAAGAAAATGGAGCCCTATACTCAGTTTTTCTAGGTTCTTGTCACTATCTAAGAAAAGATTTCAGAGAGCAGAGAAAGTAAGGAACTGGAAGAACACTGAAGCCTAACAAAGAGAAAGGGTGCGTGCTCTCCTGGGAACGTGAGGCTCCTCAGGTGTTCTCAGCAGGGATACTGAATAGCCAGCTCCACTCAGAGGCAAACTTTAATGGGAAGATTATGGAGGGGGAAAGGGCAAAATTCAAGGAATGGGTTGGGACTTTCCTAGGTTAAGGGAAAACTGCCCCATGAGGTTTCAGCTGTATCATACACCAGCTGCATGACATGAATATGCCATTATCACGAAGCCATGTTGGTCCCACCAAGTTTGGGACAGTCTTATTTACTACTGTTTAAGTGGCCATATGCTCTCCTGCTGATGCACAGCTCCAGGATTCCATCAACAAACCTCTAACAACCATGCAGTCTGTCTCTTTCTGGTCCTGTGCCAATCCAGACTACTTCATAGCTGTGAGTTATAGAATAATTAACACACACACACACACACACACACGGGATAAAGAATATACATGTTGTGCCACTTCAATCTCATTGTAAGTGGAGCTATGAAATTTCAGCTAATTGTTAATTGATTGCTAAGAGACAGGTGTCCAAACTCAAGTCTACACATACCAAACCCCTTGCTTTGCTGGGCTCTCTCTTCCAGACCATGAATTCCATCCCCTCATGATGGCCGCTGATCCTCAGGAAGGGCTGCCTTCCGCCCCCTTCCCATCCAGCAAGCCAGATGTAAAAAGGTGGTAATGAGCAGACCTCAATCTTCCATTTTTTTGTTGTTGCAGGAAGAGAAGTTAAACTGTAAGAGCAACCCAATGGGCAATCTCCCCAACAGGTAAGCTGTTTTCTTTTGTCTAAGTTTTGGAAAAAGTCTATTCTTTCCATGTTCCATTAAATTGTTTTATCGCTCAGTAATACAGATTTTTTATTTTTTTGTAAGTGGTGGGATCTGAACTCTGAGCCTGCTGAACCTCAGCTCTTCAGCTCAAGGCTAGTGCTCTATCACTTGAGCCACAGCGCCATTTCCTGCCTTTTCTGCTTACCTGGTGTTGAGGAATCGAACCCAGTGTCTCATGCATGCGAGGCAAGCACTCTACCACTGAGCCACTTTCTCAGCCCTCAGATATTTTTTTTTGCATTGTAGTTTTTACTAAAACCTTTATGTCAGCAGAGCAATTGCCCAAACCTGTTCGTTTCTGATGCATTCAGATTTCAGTAGAAATCCCATGTTTTTGTTCTTGCTTGGGGAGATAACCCTAGAACCTGCATGATGAGGCATAATCCAACCAAATCCTTCACATTGAAAGAGTTGTGGTCTGTCTGTCTCCAATCTGGGCAGCTGAACAGTTTCTCCACTAAACTCCATGTCCCCAGAACAATGGTTCTCATAGCATCAGCGTCCTTTAAGGACTTGTTAGAAATGCCTTTCCTCAGGTTCCATCCCAGACTTCCTCCATCAGAAGCTCTGGGGATGAGGCCTAGCCCTGCAGGCTTCTACAGTATCCCCTCAAGTTTAAGAACCAGGTCCTAGGGTTGCAGACTTGTTGTTGCGCTTCCATATGACATATCTCCCGCAGGTCTTTTGGGGAGTGCTAGTCAGTAGGAGGAAGTAGGTCCTTGATGGGGGTGGGGGATTTCCTGGCCCCTTCTTCTGGGTGTGCCCCTCTCTGCTTCCTGTTCACCATGAGACTCCATCCTACTATAATGATATTCTTCCTTGCCTCAGACCCAACGCAGTGGACTAGCCGACTTTTCTTCTGAGACCAAACTTCAAGCCAAAAATCAACCTTCCCCTCCTTGTAAATTGTTTCCCTTAGTATTTGTCACAGTGATGAATACCTTCCTTCTACTGATCTCTCTCTGGCTCTTTTCTCCAACTCCCTCTTCATTTCCATCTTTAGTCCAAATCTCAACACCATCTGAGTACCATATGTCTTCTACATACTTGGCTCCAGTGGATCCAACCTTTATGTCCCCTACCCCCATGCTGTTTCTCAAATGTAGCCTATGTGGTCACTGTCCTTGTTCCCATGGCTGCCCGCTGTGTACAGAGCCTTATCATCCTTTGAGGTTCATGTGTGCTGCAGTTTAGAGACCTCCCAGCGCCTCTGTATCATGCCATACAATAGGCCGATAGCCATCTTGCTTTTGTGCATTCTATTCTTCTGCATTTCAGCTGCATTTCTATCACCTCCCACAGATACATCCTGGACCAAGTGTTACCCATAAATATTAAGTAATGTTTACAGGATACTCTCTCTTAGCATTCCAAATTTCCCACATTCAATGATGCCAGGTTATTGGCTCTTCGTTCACTTGTTCTCTCAACAAACAATAAAATAAAACTATTTAAGTTGTGTCAAAGGTAAAGTAAAAGGTAATGTGGGGCTATAATAAGAGATGCCTAAACCAGCAGGTGAAGTAGAGGCCAAAGAAATAGCCAATAGCAAGGTCCTTGATCCAGAAACATATAATTTGAAAGAAGATTAGTATGAGCAGGAAAAGAAACAAGAGATGATATGCAAGAAGATTGTGCTTGGAATAGGAAAGACTTTATCCTTACCTTATAAGATCCTCATTGGCTCTAAAGGAGTTACTACAGTCAGGTCTGACAATTCACTATGCTTCAATTGTATACGTTGCTTAAAATGAAGACGCAGTGAAGAAGCCCTTTCACCAGGACAAATGCAAGCCTGAGTTCCTGCCCAGTTCTCATCATCTTTCTATCACCTGATCAACGTACCAACACTTTCTGTGTATTTATCAATACATTTATCTTAGTGAATTTGTGGCACTCTAATGTATTCCTAAACACACCTAGCTCAAATGTTCACAGAGAAAGAGCATCTGTAAGGCTCATCGCAGCACTTCCTAAACTTAGAACCAGGAGACAGCACTTCAGCGTTCTACTTGGGCCACTTTAAACTGTGAAACCATAAGAGGGAACAGTACCCACATGCAAAAATGTGGCACAAGTAAATCAGAAGGAAAATAGTACGAAGGTTGAGAGGAGGCGGTAGACAGCTTATGTGAGCTCAACTAGGAACAGCCACGTCAGCAAGACCACATTCTCAGTCATTCTATGTGTAATGTCCCCAAATGACCATACCAGTGCTGTGGGTATTGATTTGGGGGTTACAATTCAACCCTAGCAAGTAGGTGAATTTACAAGAACTGAATCCATAGGTCATGAGGATATTGACTAGACATGGAAAGCATGTATTAGGAAAACTCCTGTATGCTTGACATTTTTACCATGGCCTTAATTATGCTACATCATTAAATGTCTGAGGGGGTTGGACACTTATGAAATGTTGAGTTGGGGGAGTGATAGGGATTCAGATTTTAACCCCCTGGAAGGCACTGTGGAAATAAGCGAGCACTGACTTTAACCAAGAAGATTTTTCTAGTCATCCCAAATTAATAAGCAAGCTACTTGCCTATATAGCACATTACCTGATGCATTTAATCTAGTACTTTTAACTCTATATTTGGTCATCTTTTTTTGCAAAAGGCTCTCTCTTTCTGGACTCTAAACCCTGCTTAGAGCCCTGGAACCAAATTCAGTACTTGGCCCATAATAGGTGCTAAGGAAATACATATTGCATGAGTGGTTCGTGAGTCCTTTAACAAATACAAGAGATCTTTTACCCCTTTGTCACCTGGAAATTAGCAGAACATCTTCCCTCCAGCAGGTGCTCAGGATGTTTAAGGTCTCTAAACCATGCTCCATCTTTTCAATGCAAGAACCATTTTGACTATACTTAGAAACTTTGGGGTTCAATTCTGTATGGTAGGGCCATGTTACAAGTACAAGTTCACAGTCCTTTCTGCTTTTGTTTATTTTTCAGCTACAGTCTCAGGCTTTTGCCTGAAGTGGGCCTCTGACAGTGACCTCCTACCTCTGCCTCCCCTGTATCTAGATGACAGACATGAGCCACGACTCCTAGCCTGTTTTTATGAGATAGAGTGGCAATAATTTTTGTCCCGAGTAGAGGGGGCTTGGACCTGAATCCTCCTCTCTCTACCTATTGACTATCTGGGATTTAAGGCATGAACCCCACATTCAGCATCTCTTCTTCTTCTTCTTGGCCACCAATTCTGTCATATTAGTATAGTACCCTTATGATCTTGTTTAGCCTTAATTACATCCTAAGAGCCTTATCCACAAATGCAGACGTATAGGGTTAGGGCTTCAACATATGACTTTTAAGGGACACCTAGCCATCACTGTAGGATTCTAGAACCAGCAATGATGACCTTGCTTTGTAACTTAAACCAAAGTCAGGCAAATTAGCCTTACAAACAGTGCCCTACCCTGAGCACTCTTGGCATATCACACACACACACACACACACACACACACACACGTCTCCAGCTGTGACCTGCTGTGACCTGCCTTCAATGAGCTATGCGGCAAGTTCTTTCAGACCACGCTGTCATGATGGTGGTGATCATGACAGAAGGTCCACTGAGTCCCATATGAAAGACACAGAAGCGAAAGGGGGAAAAATCATTCAATTTAAAACTTTAAAACTCATCTGCTCGGGTAAACTATGTTGGTATTCCCTGAGAATTTTCCAGAGTACACATATCCATAATGGGTTCGAGGAGTCATGCCCCACTTCAACTACAGCTAGTCTGCTTGGTGTGGAACTTGGTGTGAATGGCATGGTCTGTTGGTTGTTCCATGGACAGGATTCTACCCAAGTACCAGGATTTAGGGGAAAACATGTAATTCCATATCCTTGATGAGAATCTGATTGTATGTGACATTTTGCATGCTTATTGAGCCCTTCCCTCTCCCCTCCCCCTCCCCTCAGTCTCCCTTTCCCTCTCCCTCTTCCTCCCTTCCCTCTCTCTCTCTCTTATTCTCTCAGTGTGGTCTTAGCCACACTTTGAAATTTTCTCAACCTGAGTACCTGGGCCTTTGTGTCTGTGGGTTTCTTGTCTCTGGATGCTACCAAACTCTGATGGGAAGTATTGGAAAAAAATATTAGGTGCTGCTAGTATGAAGTATGTAGTTAAGCCTTTGATGGCTGCACTGGTATTGAATTTGTGCAAGCTTCTTCCTTGTCATTATTCCCTAAATAATACAATATTACAAAACATTCATATTGTCTTAGGTATTATAAGTAACCCACATGTTATTTCAGTTAGATGCAAGTTTCTCCCTATACCAAAAACAAAACATAAAGGAAAGTATATGTAAGGTTTATAAAAGCTATGCTATTTTATATAAGGGACTTAGGGATTTTTTGTATCTGTGGTTCACAAAGGTGCCAAGGGAAAACAATAGACCAATAGCATGCAAGCTCTTGGAGATATCTAGATAATCAATCCCAAGAGTTTCGATATTTTTCGGAAGCTGTAAGTGGAGCATTTCTGAGGCAGGCATGAGGGACATATTAAAAGTCATCTCCTGCCGCCATCCAGATGCTGGGGAAGGAGCTAGCACCTTACACATTTTTACAGATATAAAGAACATCTAAACGTATTCATTAGCCACCTCTCACACCCATTGATGACACTGTGGAAGAGAGCGTACAGGTCCTTATGGCTTACACTTTCCCCAGTGGTCATTTTAGAGTGTCTACTAAAAAGGGGCATGGGAGCTCACAAGGAAAGCAAGGAGTCTTTTCCTGAAATGACATTCCATGAAAAGCAGACCGATCTGTGTTGGGAAAGGGATCTTAGTGCCATTGATTAAGGAGCTAAGTCCAACCACACTTGATGCCCCCACGTTGACCTCCCCTGAATGTGATTTTCAGCAAGTGCAGCACATATATATGTTACATGACACCAGTTTTTGCAGAATCCAAGGGCACTACTGCT